GATGGATTTAATTGACCTTTACAGAACATTCTATCCCAAAGCTTCAGAATATACATTCTTCTCAAGTGCACGCGGGACATTCTCAAAGATACAGCACATGTTAGGACACAAAACAAGTCTCTAGTAGTTCAAGAAGACTGAAATCATATGAAGCATCTTCTTGGATCACGATGGCATGAAACTAGAAATCAACTACAATAAAAACAATAAGACATTTAAACACATGTTTTTAAACAATGAATGGGTTACCAAAGAGATTAAGAAAGAAATAAAAAACTTCCTGGAAACAAATGAAAAAGAAGATACAACAATTCCAAATCTATGGGACACAATGAAAGCAGTCCTTAGAGGTAAGTTCATAACAATACAAGCCTACCTCAAAAACAAGAAAAACTTCTAATAGATTGTTTAACTCTACAACTTAAAAACTTAGAAAGGGAACAACAAGAAAAGGCCAGAGTAAGTAGGAGGAAAGAAATAATAAAGATTAGAGCAGAAATAAATGACATAGAGACTAATAAAACAATACAAATGATCAATGAAACCAACAGCTGGTTCCCTGAAAACTTAAAGAAGATTGATGAACTTTTAGCCAGACTCATGAAGAAACAAAGAGAGAGGGCCCCAATAAACAAAATCAGAAATGAAAGAGGTAAAATAACAACTGATCCAACAGAAATACAAAGGATTGAAAGGAAATACTATGAACAACTATATGCCACCAAGCTGGATAACCTGGATTAAATGGATGAATTCCTAGAAAAATACAACCTTTCAAAATTCAGTCAGGAAGAATCAGAAAGTCTAAATAGGCCGATAACCGCTGATGAAGTTGAAGCAGTAATCAAAGGGCTCCCAGCACACAAAAGCCCTGGCCTGGATGGCTTCACAGGGGAGTTTTACCAAACATTCGAAGAAGAATTAACACCTATACTCCTCAAAATATTTCAAAAAATCCAAGAGGGAGGAACACTTCCAAACTCTTTTTATGAGGCCAGCATTAGCCTAATTCCAAAACCAGATAAAGAAACTACAAAGAAAGAGAATTACGGGCCAACATACCTGATGAACATAGATGCTAAGATCCTCAACAAAATATTAGCAAATAAGATCCAGCAATATATTAAAAAGATCATACACCATGACCAAGTGGGATTTATTCCAGGGATGCAAGGCTGATACAATATTCGCAAATCAATAAACGTGATACATCACATAAAAGAAGTGAAAGACAAAAATCATATGATCATATCAACAGATGCAGAAAGAGAATTTGACAAAATCCAGCACCCATTTCTGATTAAAAAACTCTCAGCAAAGTGGGAATACAGGGATCATACCTCAACATAATAAAGGTTATATATGACAAACCTAAGGCCAACATTATTCTCAATGGGCAAAACCTAAAACCATTTCTCCTAAGAACAGGAACAAGACAGGAGTGTACACTTTCACCACTCTTATTCAACATAGGACTGGAAGTCCTAGCTACAGCAATTAGACAAGAAGAAAACATAAAAGGCATCCAAATTGAAAAGGAGGAAACAAAATTGTCATTATTTGCAAATGACATGATATTGTACATAGAAAACACTAAAGAATCCACCAAAAAAACTACTAAATTTAATAAATGAATTCAGCAAGGTAGCAGGATACAAAATTAACACCCAGAAATCGATGGCATTTTTATACACCAAAAATGAACTATCAGAAACAGAAACTAAAAAAAAAAAATACCATTTACCATTGCAACTAAAGAAATAAAACATCTAGGAATAAACTTAACCAAGGATGTTAAAGACCTTTACTCAGAAAACTACAGGACACTGAAAAAAGAAATAGAGGAAGATAAAAACAAATGGAAAAATATGTCATGTTCAAGGATTGGAAGAATCTACATCATTAAAATGTCCATATTACCCAAAGCACTCTATAAATTCAATGCAATCCCTATTAACATACCAACAGCATATTTCAGAGACCTACAAAAAACAGTTCAAAAATTTATATGGAAGCAAAAACACCCCGAATAGCCACCGCAATCTTGAGAAAGAAGAACAAAGGTAGAGGGATCACAATACCAGATATCAAGCTATACTACAAAGCCATTGTAATCAAAAGAGCTTGGTACTAGCACAAGAACAGACATATTGATCAGTGGAACAGAACAGAGAACCCAGAAATTGACCCATACCATTATGGTCAATTAATATTTGATAAAGGAGGCAAGAACATACAATGGAGTAAGGACAGTCTCTTCAATAAATGGTGTTGGAAAAATTGTACAGATATATGCAAAAAAATGAAACTGGACCACCAACTTACACCATACACAAAAGTAAATTCAAAATGGATAAAAGATTTAAATGTAAGGCATGAAACCATAAAAATCCTAGAGGAAAACATAGGCAGTAAAACCTCAGACATCTCTCATAGCAATATATTTGCTGATATGTTCTCCTAGGGCAAGAGAAACTAAGGAGAAAATAAACAAATGGAACTGCATCAAAATAAAAAGCTTCTGCACAGCAAAGGAAACCATCAACGAAATGAAAAGGGAGCCCACTATATGGGAAAACATATTTGCCAATGACACATCGGATAAAGGGTTAATATCCAAAATATATAAAGAGCTTCTACAACTTAACAAAAGGAAGACAAACAATCCAATTAAAAAATGGGCAATGGATCTAAATAGACACTTCTACAAAGAGGACATACAAGTGGCTAAGAGACATATAAAAAAATGCTCAGCGTCACTAATCATCAGAGAGATGCAAATTAAAACCACAATGAGATATCACTTCACACCTGTCAGAATGGCTACCATCAACAAGTCAACAAACTACAAGTGTTGACGAGGGTGTGGAGAGAAGGGCACACTACTACACTGCTGGTTGGAATGCAGACTGGTGCAGCCACTATGGAAAGCAGTATGGAGTTTCCTCAAAAGATTAAAAATTGACCTGCCATTTGACCCAGTGATCCTACTTCTAGGAATATATCCTAAGGAACCGCAAACACCAATCGCAAAGAACTTATGTACCCCTATGTTCATAGCAGCGCAATTCACATTAGCTAAGATTTGGAAACAGCCCAAGTGCCCATCAGTAGAGGAGTGGATAAAAAGGCTGTGGCACATTTACATCATGGAGTACTATGTGGCTGTGAAGAGGAAGGACCTTTTGGCCTTTGGCATAGCATGGAGGGAACTAGAGAGTATTATGCTCAGTGAAATGAGCCAATCAGAGAAGGACAAGTACCAAATGATCTCACTTATATGTGAAATATAATAAGCAAAATAAACTGATGAACAAAGTGGATCCAGACACATAGAAGCTTGGAACAAACTGAGGAATCGCAGAGGTAAGGCGGGAAGAGGGATGTGGGTGGGGAGAGATTAATCAGGGAACTTGTATGTTTATGGGCANGCAAAATAAACTGATGAACAAAGTGGATCCAGACACATAGAAGCTTGGAACAAACTGAGGAATCGCAGAGGTAAGGCGGGAAGAGGGATGTGGGTGGGGAGAGATTAATCAGGGAACTTGTATGTTTATGGGCATGGCCCATGGTCATGGACATTGGTGTGGGGAAAGTCTCAGGATGGGATGGATGTGGGCTGGAAGGAATCAGTGGAGTTAAAACGGGGACATCTGTAATGGTCTCAACAATAAAGATAAATATTTTTTTATTAAAAATAAATAATAAAATAAAATAATTAAAATAAAATAAAATAATAAAATAGCTACTGAATAAGGAAAAAATAAATAAATATAACCATTAGAAAAAAATCTCATACATAGTATTTCACCTTTAACCATAATGATACTTTTACCTCTGTACACCTCCTTAACTTTGCCTAAGAGAAAAAATAATCTTCAAAGCAGTCCTCTAGATTTACTGTTTTCCTATATATGCAACTTAAATCTGAAGTTCCCAACTGAGGTCTCTGTCTATAAAGTAGTTTTTACTACAGTAAAATGAATACTTGAACAAATTAGATATTTTTTTGTATCCCTAAAAAATTACCTAGTCAGAATCAATTTCCACATATGGTAACAGCAACTGGTTCTGCTATAGTAAAAAAAGAGGCAAAATGTCCATTTGAGAGTGAGTTAACCCTTTTATTCCATTAGTTTAGTACTTAGCATATTATAATTGAAACTATCTAACCAGGGGTTCGTAATCTGGAGTTCATGGAAAGAATTCTGGGAACTATAACCTGAATAGAAATATATATGTATATCTTGATTTTCTAAAGCTCTAAATAAAATTGAACATTTTCTTCAATTATGAATGTAGGCAACAAACACAGTACAGGTACCACAGTGGTACATATGACTCGATCACCAACAAACATTATACATATTTTCATATCATATTATAGTTATTGCACCTATCTTAAATGTTGCTTATGCTCAACACCTCAAAATGACAATAGTTATTGGACTCACTGATAGATCTTGTGATTTAACATAAATGGAATAATGCATTAATGTACATGGTATAAATTGTACATGGTATAACACAAAATTGTTTCATATATTGAAATAATTACATTTCAATATAATTGGTTTCCTTGGTAATCCTAAATATATCATTTTGTGCATTTAAAAAGATAATTCTGAGAAAAGGTCCACAGACTTCATCAGACTACCTAAAGGGTCCATAGCACAAAAAAGGTAAAGAAACTTTGGTCAAAAGAAGTTACAGAGCTCACGTGACAAAATGGAAACACCTGTACTCTTGTAATAGATCTAGTCTAATAAAAACTGTCTTTAAAATCTAGTTCAACAGCAATGTCTGCATACAGCAAAATTTTCATGGTTCATCTATTTTAATATAACAACAATTAAATACACAAAAACAAAACAGATTTCTGTTTTTTTCTGTTTTGTTTTGTTTTTTTCAGATGTGACTACTGAATGTAATATGAAAGGGTATATGCCAGATACATGGTTTTACTCCACTATCTAAAATGTTATTTGGATTGGTACCTGAGATGACAGTAGGTTACAATCAATGAACAGTCCTTTTCCAGTTTTATATCTTTGTATCAATCCAGCCATAATGGCTCCATATGCATACAGGCCAGTGGCAAGATCAGTCATGGCGACTCCTGGACGAACTGGATCTCCATCCTGATTTAAGAGTTGGTTTGAGAAAAAGAGAAAATTGAGAATTAAAACCATCATATGATTTCTCAAATATTCTAAGGTCAAATAGAATAATTGTATATGACATGTGCAAACACAAACTAAAGAAATACAGCAAACTACTACTGAAGATATCTGTTGCTGGTGAGAATATATTTATATTTACTGTATATTTGCTGAATTTCTTGCCCTACCCCTTACCAATCAAACCAAACCAAACCAAATGAAATAAAATATTTATAAAACATGTCTTAAATTCTTTTTAATATATTTTACCTTTTCTATACTTAAAAAATAAGTAATTGAATTTGAATTTAAATGAGTCAATCTGTTCAAAAGGAAAGAGTTAAAGTAGTATTTGTTTTTTCCAAGTTGGGTAGAAGGCTCTCCCAGGAATTAAAGGAGGTCTAATTTCCTTATAACTGGCAAATATACTAATGGTATCCACAGGAAGCTTTTTTCAGGATACTCCTGATTTAGAGTTACTATGGCAAACAAACCTAGAATCTATAGATTTATGGGTATGGGAAATAAGCTTTACAATTATTTGAGTGTAAAATGGAGATATTTCACAGCCTGAGATGTTCCCTGTTGTGTGAGGTAACCCATGTACTTCACTGGAAATCTTAGCTAGTGCTCTGGGATTGAGAGTTTTGTCTATTGTGGGAAGAAAGGAGCTGGGGCCTCTCTCAATGTCCAGGACTTCTCTCTGCTTCCTCTGTGCCTGCTGATTGCTTATATCTTTGAAATTACAAATAAAGTTTAAAACTGATTAACAGCTACAATTCATGTTGGTCTAATTTGACAATCCAATCCTTGACTCATATGTAAAGATACTAAAACAATGCCTTGCAAACAATAAGTATTCTATAAAAATGAGGTATCAAAATTATCAACTGTATTATCAGTCACTGTTATATCAGACAGTTCCTATTTTTCACTACCTTGAATTCTGCTTAGGCTTTCATTGCACAGAATACCTAAAACACATACATTTTATATTATGTCTCATTGATACATTCACTCATTCAATTTCTGACTAATTAATTACAGCTGCTGTTCAGTCATTTTCAGAAGCTAATTTTTTCCTTTTCTGAAGCCCACATAGAAACGATGTTAATTGTCTTTCTAAAGTACTAAATAATGTTCAAAGCAAGTCAGACTTCATAATGACTAAACTCTTTTTCCTTGCTTTTAAACATATTTCAAGAAAAATAGTGTCAAAAAAATTGGAAACTTCTGGCTATTTTCTATTATTATTGGCAAAACTTGTAATGGTTTGAACCAACAGTAAATTTAAAATTAAATTTTTCATTGTGATTTAAGATTATTAAATGTAGTAACAGTGAGAGACAAGTTCAAATTTAAGCTTATATACATCTGCTTTCTCACTACAAAAGTAATATTATCATATCTGTTATACTTAGATTAATAAAAATAAATAAGATAACAAATCCTTTATATTTTAAGTTTCCTGAAAAGAAGAGCCTATACCTGATAAGTATTCTAAAACCATCATTGCATTATACAGCATAACAGTGTGAGATGTATAAACATTAAAAAAACATTAAGTCTTCCATATAGTTGAAATAACATTGCCCCTGTTAAAACTCGCCATTTGTGAAGGTTCCGGTCACATAAAAATTACAACTAAATTAGAAAACAATCAACCTGAATAACCATTTGAAGACTAGCTGAACAAAATCCCACAACTAAAGATATAAAGAAGAAGCCACAATGAGACTGGTAGGAGTGGCAGAGAGGGGAAATGGGCTGGTCTTGCACCCACTGTGGCAGTTGAGAATCTGGAAGAATATCTTAGCTGTAGAGCCCACCCACCCCAGGAGGAGGAGGTCTTAATGCTAGCCCTAACCCCAGGCCAGGCTCCCCAGCCCAGAACATCAGTGACAGGAAGAGGAACCCACATGACACCTGGCTGTGAAAATGAGTGGGAATTCCACCCATCCAGATGAGACTGAAGGCTGCTGGGAAACCAGGCTTCCGCTTAAAGGACCAGCCAAAAAACTCTTGCTCACAGGCACTCACCTTAGGCTCTAGCAGAGAGACAGTGGCTCAGGAGACACCAGAGACATAAAAGGAGAAACTGAGTTGTTTGGCTTTGGCAGGAGGGTTGGAAGGCCAGCAGTTTCTGAGTTGAGCCCTCCTACCACACAGCTGATGGGAACCATCTTTCCTGTGTTGTGTCCTCCCCCAACACAGCCAAATCTGATTCAGCATTAGCCTAGTGAACTCTACAAACTGCCCCTGACCAGTCTCTGAGAACCTGCCCTACTCAACTTGCATATGACCAAAGGTTCTCACCGTAGCACCCACCCTGGGCCCAGGTTGTAGTCTTATTATTAAAAAATCTTGAAGAATTGCATCAAGCTCAAGAGTGCCAGAGACATACAGGGAGAAACTGAATTGTGTGGCTTCAGTGAGAGGGCTATTGGATGGCTGCCACTGTCCCTGTGCTGAGCCATCCCCCAACACAACCAAATCTGAATCTCCATAAGCCTGATGAATACCACCTGCTCCACTCTAATGACTCCCTGAGAACCCCGTTGCCTGGATTGTACTAACAAAACAAAAAAATTCAATTAATAAAATCAAAAATGAAAGAAGGAACATCACTAACTTACTAACATAAATAAAAAGGATTATATGGAAATACAATGAACAATTATATGCCAACAAATTGGATAACCTAAATGAAATAGAAAAAGACAAACTATAAAAACTGACTAAAGAACTTAATAAACATATGACAATAAGAGATTTTGAATTAATAATCACAAAGTTTCCTTCAGAATAATAAATGTCTAAGCTTTTTTTTTTAGCTTCACTGGTGAATTCTACAAGCATTTACAGAATTAATNAAGAGATTTTGAATTAATAATCACAAAGTTTCCCTCAGAATAATAAATGTCTAAGCTTTTTTTTTTTAGCTTCACTGGTGAATTCTACAAGCATTTACAGAATTAATATTAATTCTTCACAAATACCTCCAAAACCTGAAGGAGGAGAGAACACTTCTTAACTCGTTTTATGATGCCAGTCATATACTAAGGTCAAACCATGAGAAGAAATCAAAAGAAAACTATAGACCAATATATTTTAAGAATGGAAACACACAAAAAACATCAAAAAAATATTAGCAAAATGCTTAAACGGCAACATATAAAAGAATTACACACCATAATCAATTGGGATTTTCTCAGGAATGTAAAGTTGCTTTAACATTTAAAAATCAATCAATATAACACACTATATCATTAAAATAAAGAACAAATGCAAAAAGACCACCTCAAAAGATGCAGAAAAATCATTTAATGAAACTGAACATCCTTCATAATAAATACTCAACACACTAGGAATAAAAGTTAATTATTTCAATTTCATAAAGTCCATATGAGATAAAAACACAGTTAACATCATAGTTAAAGGTAAAAAGCTAAATGCTTTCTCCCAGTATCAAAATCAAGACAAGAATATCTGCTTTTATCACTTTAATTAAACATTATACTGGAGATTTTAGCCAGTGCAATTAAAAAAAAAAGAAGTAAAACAAGTCTAAGCTAGAAAGAAATAAGTAAAACCATCTCTATTTGCAGAAGATATAATGTTGTAATAGAAAATCCTAAGCAATCCACTAAAAAACTCCTAGAACTAAAAAATGAGTTGAGCAAGTTTGGAAGATATAAAGCAATATACAAAAATCAACTGTATTTCTAAACAGCAACAATAAACAAACCAAAAATGAAATTCAGAAAATTCCATTTACAATAGCATAAAAAATAATAAAGCACTTAGGAATAAATTTAACAAAAGAAGTACAGACTTATTCTCTGAAAACTATTTTTAAAAAGAAATTGAAGGGAAAATTCCAAGCTGGATGCAGAGTAGTTGGAAGCTACACTCACCTACTCCCAGCCCAAAATCAGATTTACAACAAAATTATACAGCAATCAACCTGAATAACCAACAGAAGGCTAGCTGAACTGAAATATTATAACCAAGGACTTAAAGAAGCCTTACAGACACTGATATAAAGGGCAGAGATGCAGAAAGCCCTGGCCCATGCACCCACATGAATCTGATGAAAGGCCAGAGGGATATTCAGATGCAAAACTACCACCCCCCAGGAGCATGGAGCCTCAATTGCATGCAGGGATCCCCAACCCAGAGCAACAGACACAGGAAGAGGAGCCCATATAGAATCTGGCAGTTAAAATCAGTGGGGGTTAAGTTGACTGAAAGAGAAGAGAGTCTGCTACAGACCCAGATGCCACCTTCACAGGGTCCAGTACTCCTATTGTTAAAGCACCAGTGTGGAAAGTGTCCTGCCCAGTCCTCCAACTGCTGGTAACACCATTCTGCTCTACTGGCATGACCCCAAATCAAGACTCTTTTGATCTGTCCTCCCAAGCCTCAGTGGCTCTGCCCTGCTGAGCATGCTCCTTAAGAGGGGATGACTGGCTGTACCCAACCTGAATGTGCTGTACAATCCTCCTGGGGGAGATACAGTTGGAGACTCTGACAGAGACTAAGTGGTTTGGCTCTGAAGTAAGGGCCACTCCAGTAGGAGCCTTTTTAAGTTCCTGACCTTGTGGCACCAGCTTTGTCCTACTGTCCTAAGTCACCACACCCTATAAAGCTCGTGACCTGTGGAAGGGTCTGTGGGATGAGGCCAGCCCAGCTCCGTTCTACAGTCTTTCTTCAGAATGCTCTGGAAGAAGATCAGGTAACCCCAGGGTGGTGGGGAGGGTACAGAGTAGCTGAGAGGTGGAGGTGGACCTCAGAGAGTCTCAGACCCTTTATAGATCTGCCCCATCCCTAAGCTAGAGGAAGCCAACCATTGCATACAGATTGGCCCCTCCCACACACACCCAGGCCCAGTAGATGTGGCCACAGTGAATAGAATGGTAACTCCAGAACAGGTAGCCCAAAGCAGTTACACACTGACATCAACCTGTACTTGAACC